AGCCATTGCCTTCAATTCATATCTCCCCTTCCAACTCCCAATTAAAAGCCCACTGGCCACTCTAGTTACGCATCAATTATATTAGCTACCGCCTTCAGTGCTCAACTATCTCCCCCATCTCCCCCAAACCGTCGGTGAACGCAAATGGCAGCTAGAACCATTGTACAGAAGTACGCGGTTCTTACAGCTGATGATGTGTATATGAATGTATGAGCGTGAGCTTTACTTGGGTTTGGTCAACGCTAGGATCACTTCACAGTATTGCGTACCGAATTATTCGATGCAAGCTCAGTTATGAGATAATGACCCAGCTGAGAATAGAAACTGTATTTTCCGACCGGCTTTTTAGTGTACTGTTTCTTTAAGGTACAAGTACAAATTGGTCATCGTGGGAATCAAAGCGTCTGCAATTTTTCCCAGATATCGACAAATCAGGTTAGGTTAATCTAATTTGGATCCTCGCTTGTGTATTTTATATGCTTGCTTAATCACGAAACGGATGCGAAACCTCTTATTGGACTGCAATGAGTGTGTGACAGTTTACCTGTTCTTTATTTTTCTCGGAAATTTACTTTATCGCGGATGCTTTTCTTCACCTTATGACACATCCAAAGACGATCTGTCAAAGAAATACGGAACAGCAACAACAAGTTACCTTCAGTATCTTCGATTAATCAGATTCTCTAAAACATCGGGCATTTAGGTTCTAAGCAGCATCTCATATTTATTGCCTCTTGTGAAAGAATCCTGTTTCAGACGTAATCAAATAAAAGACATTAATATGTAGGGAAGACAAATGGTTAGATACATGACCTCAGAGGCATCTGGTTTTCACAAACCTATCGATTTGTTCGATACCACCGAAGGTGAGCCTCACCCAGAAGGGACCATATTGACCAGATCCCAAGAGTGGATCCTCATTGGGGAACCACCAAGTTTTGTTCATACAAAAATATGGTACTGGTTTGATGACGTCACTCCTTTTCCTTATTTGAAATGTTACACTGTATATTCGGCTCATGATCTGTCTATGATCGATCAGTATTAGCATGAAAATGACATGCAACGAGATCGTTTAATTAAGGAATTTGTGCTGGCTGTTTGAACGTCTTCGGTTGTCTCTTAGTCATCGCACCCTCTGTAGTTCGACCTGTGACAAAATTCTTAAGGGTTTCGTATCACCTCAAAAAGCGCACAAATTTGGCACTGATTTTCGGCCTAATTATGTTTAGCTGGTGCTACCTAAATTCGTCATATGTATTCCTTTACACAGACTTTGATCTGCTAATTTGAACGGTAAAAAAAGCTCTTGATACATCCAGTATGAAGGATATCTTCTCAGGTGTTGTGCCAAATTTGACCGCAATGTTCACATTGAGGCCTGCCTTTTCTGGATCGCTCTCGGGTCGGTATCAGGCGAGAGCTGTTTGTGTTACCTCTTACTACTTACAAAGTACAAGTAGGCGACATTTGGTTCGTTCTCGCTCATCTCAGCATCTGCTTCTGGCACCTGTCCACTTGTCGCTAGGGCTCCTTCGTACACATTCGTACGCACCACTAGTCCCGGCACTTTGGTTTCCTCATACTGAACTCTCTCCGACGACGTTGTCAGTCTTTTGAGTCGTGAAGGGCATGTGCAAATAGGCACGGTGAGGCGTCCCAGTGATTTAGTCAGGTGAATAAACAGACCAAATGTGTATCTTAATATTCGTAGGAACTTATGCATGCAAATGACACGTTTTTTGGCGACGGAGAAGGAGGCATCCACTGGATGGGTACTCGATCCGGCGCGTGTTTTTCTCCGGTGTCTCTCTTGATCCCGTCGGACTTCTGTTACTGCCTGAAGGACCAAGGGGTCGCAACAAGACGACAATGGCCATGTTCGTATCGATAGCTAGGTAGTCGCGGAACTTGTGGAGATCGTCATTTTTGTCTGGACTCACTCCACCCACTAGCTTGGATCATTGTGCTGTGTACCTATACATTCACGTGCACTGCAATCATCAGGTCTTTTACAGTAGCCGGTAGTGCATCCGCGCACTGGGTTACTTGCAACCTCTATGGATGACACAGACACAGTCAAGGTGAAACGAAACAACTGCACAAATACCTGCAACAGTAAACATATGTTCGTCGTTTCCGACCTCCCTTCCCCCGTGATCCGGCTTTGCTTTCTTACAAGCGACTTCCCATCGCCCGAAGAGAGAAAAATCACTCCCTATAAGAAGCACTGCTTATACCAATCGTCTAAAATCCGTTTTCATCACTTTTTCTAACCAAAATTATCGACCCATCATCCAAGGTTCATGTCTGTGGTGAGTAGAGAGCACCATCCAAAATGAGCCAGACAAACGTGTGCGATGTACGGAACTGCGCACACAACCGATAATCGGTTGGATCTCGGTAACTGCGTAGTTAATCATAATAGAAGAAGCTGTAGATAATGCGAGATTAAAATTTCATTCTACAGTATTTTTTTATCCTGATTCGTGTTCCGAAAGTAGGTTTTGTCTCAAAGGTACGGTACTCCTGGCATCGCAAGCAGGAGTCTCAACAATGGCACATCACAGCCAGCACGACAACAGTGACGGCACATCCCAACCAAAGTACACACACATCGTGTGTCCACGCTTACAGAGTTAACACATATACGCTGGTCGCATCTGACTACCAAATGGTCTTAGGAACACATCAACCAGAGGATATGATAGTGGTCTCAAACCGCCTTGTACTTGGCCTTTCTGCAGTTGGCCGTAAAAATTCTTGGAGAAGGTTGCCACGGCAAACGAATCGTCGGTTTGTGACGTCTTATTCTATCACTTGAGACTTCCCATACTGATCTGTTCTGTTCATGCGTATCCCGTTCTTCCATTTAGTGTCTTTATATCAGACCTTTAGGGTACCTTTTTCGTCACACATCGATTCGTAATTGAAAAAAAAACATGCAGTGGATAACGCCAATTGTCAACCGAGTTGCCGGCTTTCTTTCCTTTCTCTTTTATTCGCCTTGCTTCAATAGCAACTCATGTCTGGTTGCGCGCTTCAGGACCAGCTTTGGTCGTATCTAGTGTCCGTTTCGTTTTTTGTGCTGTTCGAATCTGCATGTCACGTGACCGCGCGGATTAGATCACTTCTGTTATGTCTCGAAGATGTCATCGGTGTTTCTTCACACCTGCAATGTGTGGTTTATAGAAATCTTAGTTGGTTTACGGGTGTCCGATATTGAGAACACGTTTTTCTCACTATCCTTTTCGGCTATATCAATCCTTTCTACTCTTGCATTTACAGCGCTTGTGTGACTTTCTAGTGCTGTCCCATCGGTTCATTAGCTCCCAAGTGGTTTATCTCCGCTCCTCGAGTACTCTTCTATTTTCCTATCTTATCTTTGCGTCCGCGTACCATACACATACACTTTATTACATTATGAAGACAATTCTTACACCCTTTGGGCAGTTGTTTTCTCACTGCATTGCAATGCGCGAAGTTTTCGTTTTAGTCCGTTTCTTTTCTAGTGGCCAACAAAGAAAACCAGAAGGACCGGCATCTAGTTATTTATTCTCATCATACCTTTTACATCAGTACTGTTTGACGCGACCCTGGTCTATCTAAGTGGGAGACGGGCACTCACTATCTTCCTTCACTAACTGCGGGAATTTCGGCTAGATCGTATCGTATTCGCGAATGCACCCTTCTATTTTGTCGTTACAATACCACCACCACCATCACGAAGACAGTGGTGTTATACCTTCCGCGAAGCCGATGTTTGGGCTGCCGGAAGACATTGCTGTCGTTGTTTTTTGGAATATGGTTTGCTTTAAGGGGATCTGTGCACATCTGATTACACGTCTTTTGGGCTGGTTGTGAGACACGCTACTCTCGACCCCGTTTTCCCCTTCGAAAAAGCAGCTGTCAGTACCGGGTGAACTTGGACGACTGTTGTTGCGGGAGGGGGGGAGTAAAGTCATTTCTAACCGTGCAATATTAACAACTTTTGGAAAGCTTCAAACCGTTTGAATATATGCCTCAAGGAGAGATAGGTTTGATAAACATGATCTTGCTCTTTCTTGTCCACCAACTACGTTAACATGGCATTGAGTAGCTTTTCGTGTGTACCGGTTCTTTACATGCAAATAGCTTATTTTGTAGTTTTCTTGCTTTGTGTTTCTATTGCAAAAAAATCAAGGTAGTTCAGGTATATCATCTTTTTAGTGCGTAACTAATATGATATCCAAGGGAAACATGAGGGATGAAATACTGACAAGTTGTTCTTAGTTGGATAGGAGCAATCGAGATACAGCGGTTCGGTTCAAACCACCGACCTTTTGGTCAGTGAGTTCGCTTCTTGACCACTGAGCTATCTCGAGCTCCAAAAATAAAGATCCGATCTTATCTCTTTTTCAGTGTTTTTCTCTCTTTAGTGGAGGCTTTTGTGACGGCGTTGTGCTGTGCAAACCTTGTTGTGACCTAGCTTACGATACTTTGAGGAGTGCCCCTACCTCCTGAGGAAAGGCTCTGTACATATCCTTTAATGTTATCAGTTTTATGAAGAACGAGAGAATCGGCGAAGGTAAAGGTGTCTGATAAAATTTCAAATCCATTTAAATGTAAAAACAATTCCATATTTGAAATCCGACGTAAAGAAGGACGAAAGAATGAAGTTTGGCCTAGACATGTATGCGTTGCTGTAAGGCTAAGTTGTTTCGTATAGCCATGTTTCGAAGCAAGCGTTTGGCTAATATGACCACATCACACAATTGTGAAACCATTGCGGTTTGAAGTCCTGTTGTTTTACCAGGTAGTTGACCCTTATCCGTGTGGCGAAGACAGCGGTATCTTCGAGACCGTTAGACTTGACTGGTTTGTGTCACGATCGCCTGTCCTTATCCCTAAGTTTCTGGCCCTAAAATTCTGCTTCTGAATTAATTGTTTTTTCCTGGGCTGCGTGCAGTCCCTTTTTTGTGTCCAGATGCTTGAACACTTCCCTTGTTCGTTTCTTCTAGTTACCTTGCGCCAGCTTGCTTGGTCCGGAGTCCCTAGTGACTTGCGTCCCATCGTATGGAAACTGTTGTGTGTAAGTCTCTTTGGCTTCCTTGTGCGTCAGTGAGGTCCATGTCATTTCTAGCTAGATTCGTATTGAAATGTTATTTATTCACCTGCGTACTCCTACGGTACTATAACCCCACCGTATCGACCCTCTTCTTCCAATGCGATCGTGTGGCCATGTATAATCAACGCAGTGTCAGGCTATTTTTCACTCTCCAATACAACTGCATTCCCTGGAATTTCACCAGGTCGTCGGGTCCACCATATCTAAAAGGAATCAATGGTGATATGTTTACCGGACAGCCGGCAAAATGTTCCTACCCTATCGTTTGTAGCCACTGTTTCATGGCTCCAGTGGTTAGAGCGTGAATTTACTGACCGGAAGCTCCGTAGTTCGAACCCGACCACTGCCTCTCGACTTCCCCTGTCTAGCCTTGGGCAACCTGGCAGTATCCTAGACCTCGTGATCCCTTTTCGGGTAGCATGATAGTTAAGCACCGAAAGGGTGCTACAACTGAGCGGTTGTTTATTTTCAGCCTTCCTAGGGCGATTTGTTCCTCTTCGGGAGACCGAAGCAATTTTTACTTACATTCGTTTTTATAAATTTGGATTATTTTAGGTATTGAATTTCGAAAGTATGCGTGATTCGTCCACCAAGTCCCCGTTTTGCCATACTCATCACAAGTGAGCACTCTTTCTGTGGTAATTCTTGCGGCACTGGGGCATTTTTAGAAGCAAACCTCAGCACCAGTCAGAAGATAAAAATAGTTAATCGTTCAGCAGTAGCACCCTTTCGGTCCCCAGCTGCCATACCAGAAAGGAGGCAGGAGGGCTGGGATATTACCAGGTTGCCCAAGCCTAGACAAAAGCGGTCGTAAGCCGGCACCTCAACCACTCAGCTATCTCGGTCAGAAAACACTTTCTGGTTTCCGAACTAGCTTATCTACGCCACCGTCCAAGTAATAACATAGCCATAGCTTTACCCGAAACAGGCGATATCAGTGATTCTTCCGCCCGCCCCCCTCATTCTGAGGTTGGCAACTGAGCGTATTGGAAAGTCTGTCATGCGAATCACAATTGAAACACCTTCCGGCCTTTAATTTCGCCAATCTCTGGATCGCGGTCGATCTCATGTCATGCGTCCATTAAGGAGACGACCATCATTGTAGACTCTTCTCACCAGCAACTCCAAGGCCCAGCACTTAGGGGGCCGTGGAAGTCCGTGCCCTCGGTGTTGTGTAGCAATTGACGACTGTGGAATAAGTGCAATATCGCTAGGATGCTTGTGGAGCAACGCGAGAAATTTGAGGCAGGATGAAAAAACGAGTATACCAACTTGTGCGAACCTCAAGCCGTACGAACTTCCCTCCGTAGTGTTGCATAAGCTGGTACAGATCATAAAAACGATAATATGCCCCGATGAAACGCAAAACTGTTCCGGACAAGTGCAAAACGGGTACAGGCGACCGTGTGGGACTCACTACGATGCATTGTGACACTTTTGAGTATAAGATTAGCTCAGGTCGGCAGTTAGTCATAGTTCAAGCTCGACAGAGGTATAATGGAGCTAAATTTAAGAATGTGGAAATAATGGAAGGTCTGGAATCATGTTCTTGTGAAGTAAGCTGTATGTGGATCGTCATACTGAAATCACATGGACCTAATGAGCGCCGTCCCGATGTAAGAATCGTAAGAATCCTTAAACCATCAAAGAATCACCACCGCAAGCTCGCCGGCCGAAGTCTTTTTTTTGTACACACTGCCGACAATATATGGACTCATCGGGGCCATCCAAATTATAATTTCCTCTGCTGAGAATCACGGGATTCTATTTAGAATTCTCAACGATGTGACTGATGCCTCAGTTTATTGTGCTTTGAATATGTCCAAGATTCATCCGAGAACCTCATGTTTGTGCATTTTATGTGTGTACGGTGTATGTCGCGCATCCAATGAGGGCAGTCTCTGTGGCTTTGTGGTGGTCATTTCGCTTTTTATAGCAATCTCTTTCAGTTGTAACACCCTGTGCCTGCCTAGCTGTCATGCCACCCGAAGGAAGCCAGTTTGCCCAAGCCTAGATCCGAGAAGTGGTTCGAACCACAGACCTTCCGGCCAGTAAATTTGGGCCCTAACCACTGAGCCATCTGACAGATATTCCATTCTGTTCCTGTGTTTGTTTTTATCGACCGACCTCATTTGTCAGTGACTCTGATCGATAATCATATTTCTGATGCCCACAAGTCGCGTTTAGCCCTAAACTTGTTCGCTTACGTACCACGGAGCATTACCTGACGCGGCTTTTATGTCCAACAGATGTTCTCTAATGATGGCTAATGTGAATAGTCGTTACCTTGACTGAATACACTACTATCAAGGCTAATGAGACCTCTTCGACAACTAATGGTCAGCTTCGCTCTTTTGGGGACCCATGAAATAGACACTGATGGACGGGACAGCAATATCCCGAATATCGCACCAACTAGAACAGGAGTTGGTCTTTTTGCGGCATGTTCATCTAAAGAAGAATGTCATAGGCAGGGGATCCAGCTGGGACGCAGTAAACTAAATTAGCTTGCAGATGGATGTTTCACGAATCATCGTTGTATGTTGGCCAAATAATTACTTTGTTCAGTAATAATTCGCCCCCTTCAGGCACCTGTTTCCGCCATTAGTTGATGATACTTTATATTGCCAAGACAATATGTTATAATATCTTTCCCTAATAATATGTTATAAATTTTCGCTCTCGTTTCATTTTCTCTTCAGTAAATCATTTGTTGCGAATTGGTTTTTCTTGACTTTCCAGAACTATCTTCCTGCTAGTGAGGAACGAAGGGTCTCTGTGTTGGCAGAGAAACGCAGACAATACGCATCATTTGTGGAGCAGTATTTCCACTTGCGTGAACAACCATCGTGCAAACCAATGTTCCACCAAATTCAGAAGGACCTCACTCGCATGACCTTACTCTATCGAAGACCAGATCTCTTGGCGGTAAGCGACTTGAATTCCACTCTCTTTGTTCGATTAAGTCGTATCGACTATGAGTAGATGAGTGGTACTCACCGGTTCAACAAAAGTCCACTCGCCCCGAATATCCGGAACTGCACGTGTCCGAATGAGTTTGTTTGGCTTGGAGTAGAGCTGACATCCGCTCGCTGCTGATTGTCAGTCGAGTGGATTGTGGTCGGCTGTGGCTTTTTACCATTATGTGGTATGGGGAACAATTCATGTTAATGATCACGAACACACTAAATTGAATTCGCATTGTTCAGATTTGAGGAACCAAACAGTAGTCATCCGAGATTTAACATCAGAGTTGCTTGTTGACTAGGAGAAGCGTTAACCCAAATTCTCCTAGTGGATGGGGACTAACCTTTGATAAACAGAACTATAGGGACACTAAAATGCGGGTCATCCTGATGTCGATTTTTAAGTTTTGAAGACGCAAAAAGGCGCGTGACCAAAGGTAGAAAGTCTTCAGATGTGTTTTTTTTATCTTAACGTCTTTCGTGTGCCAACTCAAACTACCCCGATCGCTGAAACTACTTCTGAAGATGAGCCCAAATATGTACAACAGAGGTAATAGTTCAAGGCCGGACATTGTATTCAGTTTCACCTGGCGTCCAGAGGTTGTGAGGCTAACTCATTTGGTAGCTTTTTTCATCCCGCGTAATTTATACCACGTCTTCCTACTTTGACCGCCTTTTTAGATGTTTGAAAGAATCCTATTCATCTGGTCCATGAGGCACCCTGGTAGCGGCTACGTTCAGGGTATCAATGATCTCCTCACCCCGTTTTTCGTTGTATTTCTCGCGGAGTACACTCGTGTTGGTAAGTCACTGAGTACAGCCACTCATCCTAGTCCGGTCTACTGAGCGTCGCTCGTCAATGGTTGTGCATTGTGATAGACACATCTCGATCACTCACCAGATTAGAGTTCTTTCATCCGAACGATTGTTTCCAAACCAAAGCATCCCCATAACACCACCGTGGGACTGCCTTGCTTAGTACAAACTCAGGCTAACAAAATGTTATGTGGACATGGTGTTCATCAATAGATCTTGAGTAAAATAAGTTAATCTGTTTGGTAGTTGATCTGTTTGCTTCGCTCAGCAGTGGGATTGCGAAAAGAATAACTACGAAGCAGCAGCGGAGCTGTGTATATTCCAAAACATCACCAGATTGATCTATGCTGAGAAACTGCTGTCGAGTATTCTCTCTTTATTGGGAACATTTTCAACAGCACTCCCATTTAAAAACATCTAGAAGGGTTTATACTATAAACTGGCCAATAGAAATTGGTCCGATCAACGAGCAAACGATCGTCAGCTTCATTGAGATTTCGTCCTGTCAATAAAGCCAGTTCAATTGCCAAGCTCGTTGAACAGATCAGCAATCAATAAACCCACCGTTGCCACCAATATTTCAACACATTACGAAGTCAATCTATGTTGAAAAGCCGAGGACCACTGTACAGCTGTTACTCTCTTATTGGGAATCATCAGCAGTGGTGATGATAGCTTTTCAAATGGAAGTTTCATCCTCTGAAATCATTCTTCCTGTGAGCCGCGAAATCTCAATTGACAGTTACTTATTCTCCTCACTTGATCATCGGTCATCCACTTGATCGGATAATTCACCGAAAACCATAGGATCATCTGGTAACGTGGAAACCAGGCAACCGGAAGGACAAAGGCAATCGGTTTCGATTCACGGAGGTCAAGGTTGAAGTTCATCTGAACATCGCCGATCATAGAACAGGACAACTAGCCAATCAATTGAGTCGACCATCCAAAGGAGCAGTCACAACTAGAGGTCAGTCCCGTCCAACGAGACACATGTAATCAGGTACATGTCATTGCTCAACGCCTTCGCTACGATGCTAATCTGCTATGCACTTATGGTGTCACTTCGACTGATGACGAAGAGTTTGCAACCGATTTACCAAGTTCAGTCATAACGGTGGGGGTATTTTTGTGGTTTAATTTCCCTGCAGTGTAGATCCACCATATCAAACGAAATCCTGCGCGCCGGCAAAATTTTCTACTATATGATTATGAAATACCTTACATTTACAGGATACCAATAAAGCCTAAACGAGATAACAATCGCACGAGTGATTTGCTATCTTATCTATGGCTGTTTTGTCTGCTGGATAAAGCATGATTGACAAAGTTTTACTCATCCTAAGCAAGTCAATATAGTCGGCAAACGATGGTCTGTGGTAGAATGCAGCCCATGTCATTTATTTGCTATGAAACGGTAGTACAATGATTTCGCTGATGGTGCTTTTATAGAACTGTTTATCTTTGCTGAGAAGATGGAGATTGCTCGTCGTTGCAGAGTGCATCACTTCAGTCAGCAGCTAGTTTATGTAATTTCAATAGACGTTGTCATGTATGGCGCTTGGTTCAAAACAAAGAATGTATCAGAAACTAATGAAGTAAACAGTTGCGTTTCTGGTCCGTGCATAGAAATACTTCCTTCAAGATCATCGGCACGCACGATTCTTGAACAAAAGAAGATAGGTAGTCTGGCCGAACTCAGTATTTCTCCTGGACTGTTGAAAATACACTTCTTTAGCGGTTGTCTGTTTATAAAGGTCGTGTATAACTTTCTAGTGGTTGCAAGACAAAATTTCCCCTCCTTTGTTGTCGTTCTGCACGGGATCTTCTCGGGGTCAGAAACACTTTTTTGGTGCTCCTGAGTAGTGTTTCATATAAGATGAGAGTATCTGGCGATTACCCAAGTGTTTCAAGCCCTGAATAGTGCAGGTCGCATGCATTTTGAACGGGTTGATGTTCGAACCCGTAACCGTCAGATAGGGGTTGGCCGATCGGTGTAGACGTTAAATTTACGCAGTGTGATGTTATTATTGGGGCTTCAGAATCACGAATTCATGTTTGTCTTACTCGCGCATGTTTTCGTGGTACGTTTTCTTTTCGTAATGTGCAGATTATTTTACAAGTAACGGGATTACTAGCTTCCAAGTACCATACTGTGCAATAGGTGCCTCCTTTTTGGAAGTCGAAGGCACGTTAAGCCTCCTCCAATCATGGTACGACATTGATGGATTTGGGTAGAGGATAATGTTTACCAGAATCCCTGCCGTTTCTACTGCGTTCTGTGACATGATTAGTCCTTTTCTGGACATCCTCACAGCAAATGCCACGCTTATTACGTTAATCATTTGCACTACTGACTCAGTGACATGCACAATAATTAGCTAGGAGTGCTTTGCTTTAACGTTGAAAAAGCCTCTTAACCTATGGACGGCGTATTTGAATGTTTCATCTTTGGCGTCTTTGGCCTACATTTTCATTGTCCATACTTAGACTCTACGTACGTACGTATATGCATACATTTGGTCGACCACCGCCTGAATAAAGTTCTTAAGGTCGTGAAAGTTCTCTTCTAAAGGAGATCACGCTTAAACAGCCTTGGCGGTCACATCTGTTTTCGGATCTGCCTATCATATTGAACGGCACAGAGCAGCGTGTTAGCCATCTGAACGTTCCTAGCTGACTGTAAACTCGGAGAAATAATATTGGTGGCTGGTCAAGGGGGGCCAGTTCTAGAAACTACTCACAAGCCCAAGTAATGGTCCATGATTGTCAGGCTAGATATCAGAAGCGTACACTACGTGCAGGAGAAAGTCCGCTCTCGGGGTATTCAGACATGGATAGCTGGTAATAGTCAACAATCACTGCTCTAAAATCGTGGTCACATGAAGTCACTTTTCAGATACTTTGCCCTTGACCTTTTCCTCTGGAGATATTGCCTTTTGTGATAAGTCTACGCGGACTTCTTTCGCTCCCAGCTATGCTTCCTTTCCTCATTGTTTTTGAGTAATTGAGCACCAGCTTCTTTGTCGCTATCAATGAAGACGATGATTTAGGCCTAACACTCCTGAAAGCAGGTCATCTTCAGGACCCAGTAGGAACAGTTGAATCCAATGGTCTGTTTTAAGGAAATTGGTAGGCATCATTAGTGAATGAAGTCCGGGTCCTCTGTATGTGGCCTTCAGTAGTTTGCTCCAGTTTGAAGTGCCTCGATCCATAGGATGGGGGTTCATGGAATGCTACTTACGGCGCTACCATAGGGTTGGCATACCAAAATGTACCGATGCGTGTTGTAAGTAAGCCCACAAGGGCAGGCAGCTAAGCAGATGAATCTGATCGGTGAACTGCGTTCCTGGTAACTCAAGCCCGGACCACTTATAATGGTGCGATATGGTTAGCCACAGTTTCGGTATGAATGCAGGTAATCACTTCTAACACCATCATAGCTCATGCATTCCGCGAATTTCGCACAGGTTAGACAGGTCGCGTCAGTTTTGGCCAGCCTCTGATCTCCGTGTGTTTGATGTTCACCAAACAGTTCAAGGTAAGCAGCACAAGCACGGCCACAGTTGCTGCAAGTTCAGCTTGATCTGTCGAGAGATAGAAAGTCTTCCAGTATACGCTTGCATCTTGCACCTGCATCTCTCGAAGATTTTGAAGATGTCTATTTCCAGCTAGTATCACGCCGACTGTCCTTTGTTCCGAATTCCAATTTTACTGGGTTGGGCGATATTTTTTTCGGCCATTGTATCAACAACCTCTTGGTCTTCAGTTGCCGGTGCAGCAGCTGTTTCGCAAAGCCATTCTCCTCTACTCTCAACAACCGTGGACACTCCTTCAGGGTTGTCATCCTGTCTCGGTCGCTAGTTGCTCGCAGAGGAACCTCTCTCTGACACTTTTAGTTAAGGTGTTACACAGTATCCGCAACACCTATTGTATATGGAAGTTATTCATCTGTGGGGCATTACATCCGTACGTGGTCAACGTTTCAGCACCATGCGGTAAGACGGACAGAAATACGGCAATTCAAACCCTTGGCTCGGTATCGGTTTATGTTTCTCAAATTCAACCGTAGAATTCGCAACACAGAATCTCATAGACAACATTCAAACTAGCAGTCAGCATTCTACGGAGGTAGCAGGAGCTTGTACAGTTTCCTTTTCCTTTCCTTTCCTTTTCCTTTCTTGATGTTCAGAGCTGTGTAGTAGATTCCATCCGGCGGTAATTACCATATGAAGACAGCCTTCTTCAGTTTGATTCATAGGTCAAACGGTGCAGCAACAATCACGGATTTCTCCATAAGGCACTGCAGCCCGTAAAACATACACAACCAGTTATCCACAAAAATTGGCCAGAATTTCGGCCTGGTGGACCAGATTCTGAGTTGAAAAGTTTGATGTTGAGCAGACGTCCACGAAACCAATTTCGGAACTTCACACCAGTGTTGTACTTCACAAAGGCAACTTCTGTAATCCCTTCAACATGGAGGTTAAAAAGAATACTCGTGGAGCCAAACCTGTTTTTGTGGTAACGTCAAACCCATCTGTGGTTGACTCACATGTCCTAACTTTCACCCTCCGTAGTAACGGTATTTTCCTCAGCTTAGTTCTCAGTCTGAGCCTCCCGAGCTAGCGTTCACGTCAAAGCAATCACCAAGGATGCACCAAGGATGCCCGAAACGAAGTCAGGAACACTTGTACAGCGTTTCATATATATAACTTAAGCGGCAATAATTTTCCGGAAATTCTGACGCTTT